TATGGCACAGTAGGTGTGCTGAATTGATTTGATGCTTTCAGTAGTTCTGTCTTTCCCCTGACAAACTGTTAGACACAATTGTGTCTTAGGATAATAATAGTAGTATATAATTTTCAAAATAGCACCCAAGTTACCTCTGTAATTATTGCTTCCAAAATACTAAAAATCTTTGCCCTTGAAGGAGAACACATTTAAGAATATGAAAATGTTTCCTGCTGGTATGTGTCATGGTATGATTTGATTTTTGTATTTTAGAGCATTAACTTTTCTTTCTAACCCAATTTTTATTCTTCCTCATTCTTAAATCTATCTGAGGTTTTAGAAGAGCAACATTCCTTATTGAACTGTCATTCAAGTAGACACAGAAAACAGCATTGTGTTTTCCTGGATGTTGGATGCTCTTTCAGGATTTGGGGGCAGAATATTTCAGAGTAGCTGTTGACACTGCATTGAAAAAAAAATAGTCGATGCTGGGGTGTCTACTCACCCAGGGCAACTGCTCTCCCTGCACATTTTTGCAGTGTATATGCAAATCACCATCACTGATTCCTTTGATACTGCAGAACATAATAGGAAAATTTGTAACTTGACCCTCCAACTATGTTGTAACATTGAAGGACAGTAAGAACGAGCTCACATACTGCTTTGTTTGGAAGGAAAAAATGATATTTCTAGAGGTGCCCTGTGCATTGGAAATCGTTGCTATTAGTTTGCCTGCTTCCTAAGCCTAAAAGCAATGTGCATTCCAGGCTCTGTTCCATTGAATAGCCATTCTTGTTGGAAGGAAAGTAGGTGATGTCATGGGAGCTGGGCTTGGGGTTTTAAGTGGCACAATGGACAGGGCATTCGCTTGGGTGCTGGGCATAGGATTGAATCTGAGCTCCACTGCTGACCAGCTGTGGAGTCTTGGGCAGTCACTTCACCTCTGTGGACCTTACCTTTCTGGTTTTCAAAATGGCGACTGTTTTGAGGATTCAAGGAGATAAAAAATGTGGTGCTAACATGATGCCTGGCACTAAATGCGTACTCTGTGTCAGGTCTCTTTACTTTGCCTTTGTTAATGTATATATCAATCTTGTCATTCTCTTGTTTAAAAACTTTTCAAGGCTCTTGTTATCCCCTGAGAAAGGCCGAAATATTTCAACCTGGTGTTCAAGGCCTTTTATGATCTGTCTGTCCGACCCCCACCTTTCTACCACATCTAACTCTTACACTTGACATTCATCCCATAGCAAAACCACACCATCCACCGTCCCTGGGCCCTCACTTTGCTCTGCTTGGGATGCCTTCTTCCCATCTCTTAGAGTCTAAATCCAGTCTGCTGCAAGGCTTGTCTTAAATGCCCTCAGACTGAAAACTTCACCTCTTTGTCCAACACTGTCTTTCTCATCACGGGTGCTCAGAGAGGCCTCTTCTGGTGAAGCCTCTCTTTTCTGCAAGGAGGTTTGCAGACGGCCACCTCCTCAGTGTCCTCACATGGCCTTTTCTCTGTGCCCCCACATCCCTGATATCTCTTCCTTTTATAAGGACACCAGTCCTACTAGATTAGGGCCCCTCGTTTAACTTTAGTTACCTGCTTAAAAGCCCTGTCTCCAAATACAATGGAGGTTAAGCCTTCAACATATGAATTTGGGGGGTGATATAATTCAATCAGTAGCGCGTAGGTATAAAACTTCTGCCAGATCCTCTGAGGGAGTGTGTGTGTATGTTTGTGCTCATGTGTGCGCATGCCCTCTGTGTGTGGGTCTCCTCTGTCGTGAGCTTTCTTTCTCCTTTCTACCCTCAAGCAGAGAGCCCACAGAGCAGCAGATTGCTGTGTTGCTCTCCTGCGGTAGCCCAGCTTGGCCAGCCCGTGGAGCTGCCCGCATGTGGTCCTACCCCTCAAAGACTCTGCTTCCGCCCCCGCTAAGAAGGCTCCCAGAGAGACACTGTCTCCCCTAGCAGTTCCATCACAGCCCCCTCCATGCCTCCAGCTGCCAGCAAAGGGGAACAGGAGAGAATGAACCACAGCAGGGAAGGGAAGGAATTAGGGGACTAGAACAGGAGGGTGACACTTTTGTTTTAAAAGAAAGAAATGAAGCCTTTCCTTTTACTTCTCTGTTAAACATTGTCCACAGGTTGTTTTTCTCCTCCAAATTTCTCCAGGTCCCTGATTCTGAAAGCCACTAAGGAATCCCCTTAGCTCTGCTAGTTTAGACAGTTGATAAGTGATGTGGGGGAATGCAGTCTAATTGGGTCCTTCGTTAACCCACCCCTGACTTACAGAGGCAGGCTGTTCGGTTACAAATAGTTTTTCTGCTAAATCAGAGGTTGTCATCTGCCTGCAAATTAGCTGGAGGCACAAGCTTTGCGTTATGCAAAGTATTTATTCTCACAGTTAATATGCTGTAAAAGTGTGGTTTCACACTTTTCTGCCAGTATAAAGGTTCTCACCCAGTGGTGAACCAAGTCACCTGGGGGAGCATTTACAAAGTACCCAGGGCCCTGTCCTCTCTCCCTTACCCTCCCCCACCATGAGAGTGAGAGGTCCCAGGCCTCCCTAACCCTGCACTGTTAACCTCCGTGCCACCACTTCTCATCTTATTACTTCCTCAGAGGTTTCTTATTAAATTTTTCAAATATAGGATTCCTTTCTTTTTTCTTGACAAAATCCAGCGACCAATTTGGTTTTTTAAAAACATTTTATTGTTTTATTATGGAAAATTTCAAATTAATAGAAAATAAATAGTGTAGCGTAGTGGACCCCCTGTACCCTTTACCCAACTCCAACGATTATCAACATTCTACCATTCTCATTTCCTCTGTACCTAAATTATTGTTATTATTTTTTGACTAATTCAATTTTGTTTCATAGATGAGAGAGAGAGTATGGTCTGTAAACTAAAATTGGTTACATGTCCTTGCAGGTGCTTCCCCCACCTTATTGCATTTAATCCTCACAGAACCCCTAGGCGTTGTTACCCACAGTTTATAGCTGGAAACTGAAGCTCTAAGAAATTACACACCAGCCCAAAGTGTGGATAGATGGAAAGCTATGTGATAAAGCAAATATGATATAATGTCAATGTTAGAAGCTAGGTGGTAAGTATATGGACGTTCAATGTAAAATTATTAAAACTTTATGTGTGAAGTTTTCCACAATAAAATGTTGAGGGGGAAATTCCAGCAGAAGCAAACTTCGTCTTGACCATCAAGCAGTGGACAAAACACAGAAGCTATTTTCAGATACCTATCCTGTTCATATCTGCACCAAAGAGACAGATTTGAGACTTGGTTAGATTTTAATCTTAAAACCAGCAAACCAAGGATAGAAATTACTTGGAGATATACCTAGTCAACATTAACTGGTGACATCTTAGAGAACTCAGAAAACCAGATACAGAAGCAAAACCTCTCCCCGGGTGCTCCCTCAACTGTGGGCCAATAGTTCAAGAGGCCTCCTCATTGTTGATGCTCGTGAAAGGCCAGAGCCAGACATAATGATGGAGGATTCTCTGTTCCAGTTCTTGCCACTTAGGTGAGATTCCATCATTTACCCAAGGGAACATTTTGCATACATACAACCTGCATATTGAAGCTGTTCTTTTGCATGGAAGAACATAATCAATTTTTTTACTCTACATCAGAACAGAACCACCCACACTGCTCCATTGTGTAATGCAAGCCCTGCTTTGATGGTGAGCTGGCCTGGCCAGGAACTGCTGAGCAGACTCTGCTCTGTTGGGAGTGATGGTTGGAGGCAAAGATACCCTTTCAGGGGATTCCTGAGGGCATTTTGTTGCTGAACGTACAAGGAGACCCTGGTTGGGCAGCTAGCAGGCCCCTTTCCTACTCCTGCTGAGAGCCCTATGTGTCCCAGCAGCCCAAGCTTGGCTGCCATTGGCATTACCCAGACCGCCCTTCAGTGCTTGAGGCTAAGTGCTCTGCCCTTCTAGCTTTAGCCTTCTATGGAGGAGGGAGCTGCTTAGAGACACAAAAGCCACCTCTCCAGAATCTTCCAGGGTCCTCACACATTGCAAAACTAGGGTCACACCAGGAAACCAAGAAGTTTCCAATACCAACCTTCCCTCTTTCCAGAATTCTGATTGAATCTTGAAGCCCAGGTGACTCACTGATGTCCATACCGTTATACTATTCTCCTTTCAGTATACTCTGAGCAGAATTTAAAGCCCTCGAGAGGTACCTGTCTCATGAGTTAACTGCTCCATCAGCTTCCTTCATCCTGAAGTGTCTAGGCAGTACAGGCTAGAATGAAGAGCAGGCTTTATAATCAGATGTGGTCGTGAATCCCAACTTCCACCATTACTGGCTGAGACTGGGGAAAGTTGCTTCACTTCCTCGAGCCTGCTCATAGGATTATTGTAAGGTTTGAACTCAGATAAAGTATGTGAAGTCACCTAGCGTAGTCTCGGGACCAGCAAGTGCCACTTAGCCCTGGCTTCCCTTTTCTCTCGTATGTGTGGTATGTTGTAGGTATGAGATGAAGACTCACATCTCTGCCACTACCTGGTGGTGTGAACACATCCTATCTCTGCATCTGTGCACTGCGTTTCATCGTCTAGAAATGGACTGCTTGTTCTCCAAGATGCTGTGATTTTTTTAAATTATACTATCTAATTGCTCCTTAGAGTGCTCCCTCAGATTGTGAGGGCACAGGAAGGTCCTGAGCATGTGGCAGCCCAGAAAGAGTGAGAGTTGGGGGGAGACGAGACTGTGGGATTGGGGCGATGAAGGTAGGGAGGGCAGGGGGAAAATGATCAAAATGAGACCAGAATCAAAAAAAGGCTGGCATTTCTAAAAACTAAAATTGCCTCTTGAGAGTTTTGCCAAGGGCAGGCCCCAAGAGAGGTTTAGTTACCCCACGCTAGGGAGTGTGGGTGCCTGTGCTTCTAGTCGCTTCCCCACAGGAAACCTAACTGCAGCCTGGGCCCCCTACAGCTCTTCCCTGGGGAGGCTCACAGGCTGCTTTGGATGAGTAGACCACTGCAGCATTCCTGCCCACGCACACGACGGCTGCCTTCCTCCCAAGAATGATTTCCGTTATTATGTCATGTGGTCTCGCAACCAGGAGAGATTGTTTGCTCAGTTTTGCATAACAAACATTGAATCTGTTGTTGGATTTGCAGTTTAGCCTTGCTTGTGGGCCTTCCGTCGTTATCGTTGGTTCTTGCCTGCCGCAGGCATCCAGGCACTCAGCACACATTTTCTCTCTTCTCCGCGGCTGCGAGGAGCCCAGTAGTTGGGATTCCTTAAAGGCAAGCAGATGGAAGCGAGCGGGAGCGTGGAGGCAATTAGAGGATTTCTTCCTCCAAGCAGTGCAGGTTTGCTCTCTTTGGGTATGTGGCTGTTCTTGCTCATTTTTATTTTCCATTTGGATTTTGTCAGGCTGTCAGCTTTTTTTCCAGGCTGTATTTTGCTGCTGGTTGCAGCAGTGTGCAAAATGAGGTGACTTGGTTGCTTGTTGTTTGGAATCAAACTTTCCACCTCGCGGTGTGGATAATGCATATCATGATGAGGGTGGTGATGATGACGCTTCATATTTGTAAAATATTCTGCAGCTTAAAGAGTGCTTTCACATACATCAATGTCTCATTCAGTCTGGACAGAGGCTCAGAAAATAAAAAAAGCTCTACTCACTCTTGCTGGAGTTGGAGTTTTTCCTTGTCTGTACACCATCTCTGTAGTCAAACCACAAAGGGGAGAGTAATAACATGAGAACTGTAGCTTTCCGCTTTATTGCTTTTCTCTTTCTAGTTTCAGCCAATGAGTTAAATATTTTTCAAACATTTATGAGCACACTGCTAGATTTTCTGATGGCATTTAAGTAACTGTAGCAGACAGTGAGCTTCCAGTCTAGCTGGGGAAACAAGACCTCCATCTGTGAGTTTAAGAAACAGTGCCCAGCACACAGAAGGCACTCAGTAACTAGGTGTTGGATGAGCGGGTGAATGAATGGATGGATAACATAACCACCAAAGTCCTGAAAAGCAAGGAGAGGAGCTAGGGAGGAGCCAAAAGGTGCACAGTCCTCGATGGGAACAGGCACAGAGGATACAGCGCCCCCGGAGTGCCTGGGTGCCTGGAACGAGAAGGCAAGAGGATCGGGTACGCTCGTGGATTACCTGCATTAGTGATTTGCCATCCATCAGTGCAGCTGAATGAGAGGAAACCATGTAGGTATAGGCTGAGAAGAGTGAGCAAGGAAAATGGAATTCTCTGCTCTTAAGGATGGGGCAGGCAGAAAGAGGGAGGGAAGGAGGCAGGCAGGCAGACAGACTGAAAGGGAGCGATTGCTCGTAAAATTGCTGTTGGGAAAAGTGCCAGCAAAGTCACTCCACCGTAAAAGTCTGTCTCCTGGACTTGAGAACCTGCTGTATTGCAGCCCTGTACTAGGAGCTGGGAGAACGCAATGGGGAGAATTAAAGAGATGCAGGACTTGGCCCCAACCCTTTAGAGACTCTGCCATGCACAGGAAACAGTGAAATGATGTGAATGCCCCACCCCGCCATGATCAAGTGCAGGAATAAGCCAAGGAATTGAGAGACAGGGAGACCAATGTGGGCCTGAGGAGCTGAGGGGAAGGCTTCTGGAGGGGTAAGACTGGCGTGGGGCCTGGCACACGGATGCGATGTGGGAACCGCATGGACAGTTGTGTGGAGAGAGGTACCATCCTAGGTGGAGACTGTGCTGGGGCAATGGGAGACTGGTGGAAGAGCTGTAGGGGCACCGGTGTGGAAACCAGGCTGTAGAGCTGGAGAATGTTGCTGAGCAGGGAAGCAACATTTTGAAGGTGGTAACAGAATTTTTGTTCACTCCCAGAATTCTCGTTAAGTCCTGCTACCCCAGGTGCTGCGCTAGGGGCTCTGCGCTCTCCCTTATTGGTGGTGCAAGAGTAAGCTAAGGGACGAAAACGCCTCCTGGGGATGGGCACTGAACCTTTTCAGTGTCTCCGGGGGCGCTGGTATACTCCAAGCCAAATACTACCGCTCTGGAGCTAGAACAGGAAAAAGAATATCCTGCAGTACGACTGTCAGTAGGACACTGTTTTTGTTAGTTGTTTTGGCTGCCATGAAACTGTACTTCATTTGTGAGTATTTTGGAGGGGTGCAGAAGTTTGTACTGTATGAACTCTAGGTATTTTCATTAAGATGTATTTTTAAAGTAATATCAACATTAATACACACACCCCAGTGTAGAGTACTTAGAAAATACAGAAAAGGACAAAAGTCACCCATTATTCCATCACTCAGAGATAAATACACACGTTGTTAGTACTTTGTTCAATGTCCTTCCCCAATGTGAATTTAGAGTTTTTTAAATGATTTCAAATTGCACTCAGTGTTTTTTATCTAGTTTTTTTCACTTGGCAATATACCATGAATATTTTTCTGTGTCAATAAATTTATTTTACCATATGATTTTAGGGCTATATCCTGTTCCACTATGGGAATATACCATAGTTTATTTAATCAGTCAATAAGAAAGCAGTCTCCTGTTTTTGTTTATTTTGGTTGTTTCCAATAAATTAGGCTTTAAACATATTTTTAAAAACAACATTATAATATAGTATTTTCAGATAACCTTGTTTTCATTGAGTGAATTGCCTAGTCAGATCCAAGTGAATATAGAAAGTTCTCCACGAAGTTTTATCTCATTTTTATTGTCACTTCATCCAAAATGATAACTAATCAACCCCTGAGTGGAAAAGAATTGTTGTGCCATAGTATGCTTCCCTAAGTATGTTAAAAACATGAGAAGACCAAGCCCCATACTGATTGATATACCCAAATATTGAATAAGAGTTTAAGAGGTCTCAGCTGGATCAGGTAGTTCTTAGAATTTAAATGTCATCCTGGACTTGATTATAGTGAAATTTCAACAAAAAAAATTTTTTAGTAACTCTCAATATTATCTTCATGTAGATGAAGAACTTACTTAACCCTCTCTGTCTACCTACCTCTTAACCAATATCTCCCTGCAAGACACCTTTCTCCTTCCCGATATGGGATGCCATTTGGAGGGCTGGTTCTTGCTAACTTTATTATAAGCTGTGTAGAAGAAAAGATATGTCAACCTTGTTTTTCCTTTGAGTCAGAGTTTGATTTGCAGAGGCTGGAACTTCCTCTTTGTGTTTCTTTTCCAGTAATATGTGTGATTCACCACAGTTCAAGGTAACCCCATCTACAACACCTCATTTTTTTTTCAAGTGGAATTTTTCTATGAAAAATTAAAATTCTATGAAAACCATAGAGTAGAGAGGAATTCTGTAAGTCTTCCATGAAATTATGCCCCCTGCCTCTCAGAGTTTCCTAATAGAATTAGGTTACTTGTTTTTCTGAATTATTTTTTATCATCCTATGCTTATTGGAATGAGATGTGTGTGGAAGAGCCGTTGATGAAGGTCGAGGAAAATAAGCACAGCGTTCTCTGTTTTTAAAAATTGCTTTGTCTAACTGTTGCTGGTGCGTAGGAACAGTTTTTCATATTGAACTAATACTTGTCCGTTTGCTAAAGCCTTTATCAACTCCAATAATTTATCTGTATTTCTCTTAGGTTTTCTGTGTAACCAGTCATATCCATAAATAATTATAAGTTTTAGTTCTTCCTTTTCAATCTTTCATCTTTTATTTATTTTTCTTACCACTGTGGCTAGGGCCTGCAGTACAGTGTTAAAAAGAAGTAGGGAGAGCACACGTCCTTAGCTCGTTCCTGATTTTAAAGGGAAAGCTGCTAACATTTCACCATTGAATATGATGCTTGCTATTGGGATTTGGTTGATACTTTTTATTAGATTAAGAAAGTTTCCTTCTTTTTTTTTTTTTTATAATTTTCTTTATTTATTTTTCCACCAAAGCCCCAGTAGATAGTTGTATGTCATAGCTGCACGTCCTTCTAGTTGCTGTATGTGGGACACGGCCTCAGCATGGCCAGACAAGCGGTGCGTCGGTGCGCGCCCGGGCCGCCAGCAGTAGAGCACGTGCACTTAACCGCTAAGCCACGGGGCCGGCCCAGAAAGTTCCCTTCTGATCCTAGTTTCCTAAAAGTTTCTATTTTTTAAAATCACAGATAAGTGTTGAATTTTATTCAGTGCTTTTTCCGTGTCTATTGATTAAAGATCACAGGATTTTTCTCTTTTAATCGGATAATGGGACATTACTGTCAGCAATTTTCTAAAGTTAAACCATCCTTGCATTTTTGGTAAAAATCCAAGTTAGCCGTGATATATTTTATGCACTGTTGGATTCAGTTTGCTAATATTTTTTTAGGATTTTTATGTTTGTGTTAATATCTGAGATTAGCTATAATTTTCCTTTTTTCCTAGTGTTCTTGTCTGATTTTGATACTAAGGTTATACTAGTGCTTTTCAGTTTTCGATCTCTGAAACTTGCCTCTTTTTTCTCTAAAAGCATCTTTTTTCTCTAAAACACTAGCACGAAACCTAGCGTTTATTGGTTTTGTTTTTTTGTGGAGGGACAAGTAGATTTTTAACTGATGAACCAGTTTCTTTAATGTTTATAAGACTTTTCTCTGAAATTCTTCATTTCTTTTTTTTTTTTTTTTAATTTTTTTTTTTTTTTTTTTTCCCCTAAAGCCCCAGGCGATAGTTGTATGTCATAGTTGCACATTCTTCTAGTTGCTGTATGTGGGACGCGGCCTCAGCATGGCCGGAGAAGCAGTGCGTCTGTGCGCGCCCGGGATCCGAACCCGGGCCGCCTGCATCGGAGCGCACGCACTTAACCACTAAGCCACGGGGCCGGCCCTGAAATTCTTCATTTCATTGAAACTTTCAAATTTAATGACGTACAATTGTTCATAGTATGCTCTTATTTTTTAACCTCTGCTGAATCTATAGTTGTGTTTTCTCTTTCATTCCTAATATTATTATGAGTACCCTCTCTATTTTTCCTGATCAATTTTGGTAATTTGTCTATTTTATTAATTTTTTCAAATAAACAGCTTTTCCTTTGTTAATCTTCTCTAATGTGTCTTTGTTTTCTGATTTTATTAATTTCTACCCTTTATTATTCCCTTCTTCTACTTTCTTTGGATTTATTCTTGTTTACTTTCTTCTTGAGTTGGATACTCACTAATTTTCAATCTTTTTTCCTTTCTAGGGTAAGATTTGAGTATTTTCCTCTAAGTACAACTTTAGTGGAATCTGACAAGTTTTAGTATGGAATATTTTCATCATCACTCAGTGCTAAGAATGTTATAAATACCATAGTTGTTTCTTCTTTGATTCATGAGTTATTAGCAGTGTCATTTAAAATTCCCAAACAATGACAGTTTTTTAGTAATCATTTTGTTTCGGTGTCTAACT